AATCCCCAAGTGCTCAGTCTGGTGCCGGGCACCTGTCGGGCTCCCTGCTCAGCGGAGAATCTGCTTCTCCCTCTCCCTCTGCCTCTCCCCCTGCTGGTGCTGGGGGCCGGATGCTGCCAAAAAGCAGGGCCCTGCCATCTCCTCCTTCCCACGCCCCCTCTTGATTACCAACAGTGGTTCTGGAATCACACCCACAGGTTGTTTCTGCATCCTGGGATGTGAGTCTTTTAAGATTGCTGTCTTGTAACTCCGTCATCCTTGGGTGCTTGTAAGTTGGTTCTTGGTTCAGCTTCCATTTGAGGTTTCCCATCAGTGTGTGTAGATGTTTAGCTTGTTACAATCTGATGAACTTTCTCCTTCATAACAAGGATGGAACATACTGTAGACGAACATTCCCGCATTGTCCTTTCTGTAGCTTGGAGCCCCAGCCCCCACGAAGGGCCATCGCCCTCCCTGGTTTCTCTTATGGCTTTGCATGTAGGGTGCAGGCAGTCTCGAGTAGTTCTTGTGTTTCCACACATCCTGCTCACTCTGTTTTATGAGCCCACGCCACTCTCGGGGTCTGTCCTGTCTTCAGTATCTAAGCTCATCAGGGCTCCCTGCCCTCTGGACCTAACCATCCGTGGCTGCCTCCTGCCTTCTTTTTTCAGGGATTATTGTGCTTTACGTGCTCAGAATCTACTTGAGAGAGACCAGATGTCATCTTGCAAAGTGCCTTCCCCTGTGGGATCTCTGCTCCTACTGCTCCGTTATGTCAACATCTAAATATTGGTTTTCTGCAGGTCTAGGCTAAACAACTGTTTTTGTCCCCTGGTTTTTTCTTCCCTCCTTTGAACTCTGAAAATGACAAGGTTACTTCCTCCCAATGCGGTATTCTTGTTGTTACTGTTTTTGCTAACTTACAGGTGTTTTGTTTTTCCTAACTTACAGGTGTTTTGTTTTTCCTACGTAATTTACTAGACTTTGTTTCCTGGTTAGAACTGAGTTCAAGGAGCATTTCCCTTCTTTGCACCTCTGGCTTTGTGACAGGTAAACTCTTTAGAAAGGCACGGCAAGAATTTATCAAGTGCCATGCTCTTCGCAGGGGAAAAAAGAAGCCTTGCATCTGTCTCTGTCAGATGTCCTCGTGTTCATGTTGGGTGACGTGAGCTCTGTCTTCCATCTGGACCATTTCTGCTAAGAAGTTCATATCTTCTACCATCTATTCACTCCTAGGTGACTGCAAGAATTACTTACCTTCTGGTTCTTTTGCCTTTTCCCCACACTCTGCTGTCCTCCAGGTTTGGGCATGTGGGATGGTGGAGTTGTTGTCAGGGGTGGGGTGTGTGTGTGTGTGTGTGTGTGTGTGTGTTGCCCTCTTGATTTGTAGGACCCTTCTCTTTTTGCACTTTTTCTCTCTCTCAACTCTCTCCAGCTCCCATTGGATCTGTTGATGAAGGCATACATGCCGTGAATCTCATTCCACTAAATTGGAATGATGATGATGACATGGCATTTATCATTTTAATTAAGAATTTGAATTTGCTTTGTCACTTGTACAGAGTCAAGTTGTTGGAGGCTGCATGGGCCAGAAGCAGTGTTGCCGACCCCCTTCCATCTTAATTTCTTTCTTTCTGTTTTTCCTTTTTTCATTTAATATTTTTATTTATTTGAGAGAGAGAGGGAGAGTGAACCCGAGAGAGAGAGTGCATGAGAGAGAGAGAGAGAGAGCACCAGCAGGGGGAGAAGCAGAGGGAGAGGGAGAAGCAGATTCTCCGCTGAGCAGGGAGCCCGACATGGGACTTGATCCCAGGACCCAGAGATCATGACCTGAGCTGAAGGCAGATGCTTAACCAACTGAACCACCCAGGTGCCCCTCTTTTTTTTTTTTTTTTAAGATTTATTCACTTATTTGAGAGAGAATGTGTGTGTTTATACACACCACCTGTGAACCAGGGGAGGGGCAGAGGGAGAGAATCTCAAGCGGAGTCTGCTGAAGGCAGAACCCACCACGTGGGACTCATCTCACGACCCTGAGATCACTATCTGAGCCAAAGTCAAGAGTCAGACTCTCAACCAGCTGAGCCACCCAGGCGCCCTGATTTTAATTTCTTTTGATAATTTGTCCATCTCGGGATTCTTTAAAGTCATACCTAGATACCACAAAGAACATGGCATGTTTTCTTTCTGCCACTTTAAGATTTTGTCTTAAATCCAGCTGGGAGAGTTGAGTGTGTTTCCTCCCTACCTCTGTCTCCCTTGTGTCCTCGGGAAAGATGCCGTGTACCCTGGTGTAAGCCACGGGCTGATTTGCTGTTCTGATGCGCAGCCTGCCATTCAATCAGTAAGTGTACGTTAGGTCTCTTCTGCACTAAGCTCTGTGCGGGGCCAGACAGATGCAGAGATAAATGGGGGCAGATCTGTGAACCGGGCAGGGAGGGGAGCCAGGGCAACAATAAACTAATAGGAGCAGCTCAGGGTTTGTTTGTCAAAGCCTCGTTTGTAGTGAAGAAAAGAACCTGGAACTTAAGAGTGTGAACTGGGTCTGCATCTTGGCGCGGGCAGTGACTGACCACGTGTCCTTGGGCAGGTTGCTTCATCGGGCCTCGGTTCCACGCCTGTGAATGGAGTCAGCAATGGACCCTCATCCACAGGGCTATTAGGAGGCTTAAGTATAACGTATTTTCTAAATATAAAGTGCACCTGACACATGGTTGGTGTGGTATACATGAAAATTCCTCTTTCTCTTTCCAAGTCCTCATCATCTGCTGGCAGAAAGAGAAATATCTGTGTCTCCGTCTTTCTGTTTCCTACGTAAGACCCCAGAGTACTTGACATCCCCACTGTGCGCAGTATTCCTTTCCATATAAGTCAGAAGTGGTTAGCACTGGTGGTTTGGGGCCCCGGCCTGCTCTTCATTATATTTTGGTTATATTCTCCAGGAAGATATGAGGCCTTTCCATCAGCTGGGTAGCCCTCATACTTAGAGTAACACCAGGTTCTTCTTCCTCCTGTGGCCAGGGTGGGATCCCGTCTCTGTTTCCCTCCCTCGGTAGCAGGAAGGTCGGCTTGCTTTGGGGCACATTCAGCTGTGTCACTGTCTCAGGTCAGGGGCCAAGTAAGAACTGGGGCATACTGCATCTTAGAATCTAAACCCCTCGGCTTAATTTTTAAGAAGAAATACATGCAGATGGTAAGATCCCAATAGTACAGGAAGATATCAAGTGGAAATGAAAAGCGGGGAAAACAGGAAAAGCACAAGTTTCTCTCTAGAACCTACTCCCTGGTGTTCAACACTCAACATTTTTGGGGGGGTAAATTCATCCAGAAAAATTGTAAGCATCTACAAGCCCATATACCTTCTCCTCTGCCTTAAGATGCAAAACCACCCAAATGGTATTATATTTTCTATTCTGTTCAGTACTTTTTTTTATTTTTCAAAATTTAGAAAACACCTATATTACCACCATTTACAGTTAACCATTAATTAACCTTTTGGTGTGTTTGCTTCTTGCCTTTAGGAATAGACTTTAAAAGTTACTTAAGTATTGCCAATGAAGGTCAGCTAAACAAACTAGGCTGGTAATGATAGAGCCGAAGTGTCATCCTGTGCTTTGTTTGCTCTCCCGTTGATGAGCAGCCTCTTTTCACCACAGCCCTGCCTGTCCCCTGCACGGCCTGAGCGCCAAATCCTCTGCCGTTTATCCGACTCCTCCAAAGTGGTGGACATAGGTTGTTACCAGCTTGGGGCCATTAAAATGCTTTAGGAACATATTTGTAGGATGATTTCCTAGCTGGGCAGTGACTTTGTGCAAGGTCTGAACATTTACAATTTTGATAGATATGGCCAAATTCCTCAAACAATGTACTCGTTGATATCCCTCCCGAGCGTATGTGAGAGCACTCTTTCCTCTCAAGTCTTGGCAGAAACCCAAGAGTTTTATTTTGTTTTGTTTTTGGTCAAACATTAAAACATTTTTGCCATTCTGGTGAAATTACTATCGTTGTTTTTATAAGCATTTCACTCTTAATGAGTTGCATCAAGAATCGTTTGGCCATCTGTGTTCCTTTCTCTTTGAACTGCCTGTTCTTATTCTTTGGCCATTTTTATATTGGATTGTTAATCTTTTACAATTGATTTGCCAGAGTTAAGTTAGCCTTTTATCCATTATGTGTTGCAAATATTTTTTTTTAAATTGTCATTTATGGTGTGGCTTTTAAGCTTCTTGCCTTTTTGTTGAACCTTGGTCCTTTGTGGCTGCCCCAGGAAGGTCCTGGAGAGAAACGGTGGGAACCTCAGGAAGGTCCAGGAGCCTTCTGGGCAGTGTGGTGTGGTTGTCTCAAGTCTTTTAGTACTGGATTCCCCATTGTAAGTTTTAGCTTTGTTCCGGGGATTTTTCCCCGTCACAATAACGAAAGCTGGTAGCAAATAGAGAACCACTTTTACCTCCAGCCAAATATTTGGGAATGTGTGCACCAGCCGGGGACCCCAATGCGGTACATCTGTGTATCTTTTACTTTACTGTAACCTTCTTTTACTTTTACTTCAGTAACCTACAAACTCAGCTGTTAGATTTCTGCTTAGATCATTTTCTAGGGGAGGACCATCAGTAGCTCCTCACTGAGCTTTGCAGAAGTTCTAGAAGGGGGCATACTCCCTCCCACCCTACCCCCCCCATAGGTGGAGAGGAAAATCATTTCAACCAAGGCTTATCTGACCTCTCTCATGTTCCTGAGCTGGGCTAGATGTAAGCGGACAAGTGACCATGTCTCCAGGCTCTAAGCAGCTCTCTGTAATTTGGGGGGCTGAGGGAGAGTCTCCCTCACCACCATTGCTGGTTTCTGGCAGCACCCTAGTTAGTTCTTTACACACAGATCACAAGATATAATTAAAAAAAAATTTTTTTTTTACTTTTTCATTATGTCCCTCCTACATTCATATGGAAGTTCCATGGGGCACAGGCCTTATTGACTATGTTGTCTGTTCTATCCCAGCCCTCTCCAAAACAACGTGTGGCGTGTGCTGGGTCCTCCAGATGTGCGCCGAGGGATGGCAGTCGGTGGGGGTGAGCCCATGTGCCATAGGCTGTGCCTGCTCTGTGTCTCCCTGTTTCCCTCCCTGGCTCCATTTCCAGGGATGGGGGCTTTGAAGGGCCCAGCCAGAGATCAAATGATGTAAGGACAGTGTGTCCTGGTCCGGTGTCCTCGGGGCCTCCTCACATCTCCCTTTTTCGCTAGCACAGGGCCGTGAGGTCCAGTTCCCCAGCTCCAGGCTGAAAAGAGAGGTGAATGAGCTGACGCAGAGGCCTGCTAGCTGAGGAGCTGGAGGACTAAGTCAGGGCGGAGTGGAGCTGGAGAGGACAGAGGATGATAGACCAGGTTGTGCTATAGTGCTCAGTATTTGCTCACAACCCCCCTCCCCGCCCGACAGCAGCCTGCACCTGCCGGCGTGAGCTGCCTTCCTGCTCCAGACTCCAAGACGGCAGCCCCCTGCCATGCACTTGGGGTGTCTGAGCTGCCTGGCAGAGAAGCCCCGAGCCTCTGCTTCCCTCTGCTTCCCTCTGCTTCCCTCTGCTTCCCTCTGCTTCCCTCTGCTTCCCGGCCGCTGGGCCTGGGGTGTGGGTGACAGCTTCCAATTTACATTTGGAAAGCTAAGCTTCTTTCTCTGCCTCTTTAGAAAGTACAAATGCTAATTGTATAAATCACCTAGAAAATAAAGATCTAAGGAGGAAAAAAGGAAGTCACTGTCATCCTGCTTTTCAGATAGAATTCTGATTAGCATTTTTCCGATTAGCATTTTACTGAGTATGAATGCCGTTCCTTTTACACCCCCCCCAGGTATAAATAAATATATAGAACTGTACTCTACATAATAAGGCTTTGTAACTTGGCTTTTTCACTTACGATCAGACACTTTCTGATGAGTCAGTGTAAGGAAACTAAGATTGGGATTTGTGCTGCAAAGAACAAAACAGAGTGAGTGCCACCACTGACCGTGACCGGGGGTGACCGAGAATCCAACAGACACGGGAATCCATTCCACATTAAATGTTCTGTTCAAACATCACTTTCATGATTGATTTTATAGATAAGTGCACTTAAAAAAAAAGCAATCTTGTTTGCTTATTCTTGGGCCTCCGCTTTCTGGTTGGTGTAACTGACTCGGGATTGGGATGTGCATACCTTAAGGCTCCGTCTGGGAGAGTAGTTGAGGGTAAAATTCTAAAAGCAGGATTTCCAGGATCAAAGGGTTTGTACTTTCAGGCCTGTATCCTCTGTCAGCCCCCGTTTTTGGCACTGCTATCACAACGTACCTAGGTACACTGTCTGGGCAGGTTCTTTGCCTCTGCTGCTTTACCGTGGGGAGGTGGAAGAGGAGCCCCAGGAGCAGTGAGGACAGGCATCAGATTCCAGCCCTGCCGCCGGCAGCTGCTGGAAGGCTTCGAACTAATTGCTTAGCTTCTCTGAGCCCGAGTCTTCTCATCTCTAAAGCAGGATGCTCCTTCCGGGGTGGGCATGAGGGTTCCCCGTTCGGAGTACCTAGGACCAGTACCCGTTAAGCACAGAGTTCGGGATCGGGGCTGGGGCCTTTGCTGACCTCCTGCTGCGAGCACTCGAGGAGGTCCGCTTTAAGGACACACCGCTCACCGGCATCACTCCCAGTGCCTGACTCAGACTTTTGCATCTCTCTTGGCTCCCAGTCAGTCTTGGGAAGGGATGGCTTCCTCCTCTCACGACGGGTGCACCCCGCCCCCAGCTGTTCAGTTTAGGTGGTGTTTGCAGGCAGAGGGAGAGCGCAGGGCAGGGACACCAAAGACTGCCTCCCTTCCAGTATTCTGGCTTTCCCTCCGCCCAGTGCCTGGGGCTGTTCGTAACCCCTGAAATGAGATGGGTGTGAGTGGGACCCCAGCTGCCCACCCCCCGTGGGACTCTGCAACAGCATGGGTGGGAAGTGGGGGCAAAATAATAATAGCAAGCACTAATGGGCTGCTCACTATGTGCCGTGCACTGCTCTTAGTAATTTACAGGATGTACATCTATTTAATCATGTGCCTCATTTAATATAGGCAAGTACTGTTATTATCCTGTTTTAACAGATAGGAAACTGAGGCACAGAGGTGTTAGAGACTTCCACAAGTTCACACACCTGGCAAATATTAGAGCTTGTCAAGGGGATGATCCCTTGGGGCCTGGGGCTTGTTCCTTCCTGTCCAGTCCTCGTATCATCATTGCTGGTGAGCCATGCGTCAGGCCCAGGGCTCAGTTTCTTCCCATTTCTCTGGCTCAGCTAGTGTTAGGATGCTGACTACTCCTGAGTCTTTTCCTGTGGCCCCATGATGGAAGATCTGGTGGGGAGGGGGGATAACGGGGCCATAAGCAACCAGAATTGGGGGCCCCATTCCTCTTCCCTTCAGGTGCCCGCAAATTGAGGCATGGAACAGTATTTTGGGAGCGCTCCCACGTCTCCCTCATTGCCACTGCCATCCTAGAGATTCCTCCCCAGGCAGTGGGCTCTGTGGCCTGGTCCCTGGCCCTTGCCACACTTGGTAGGTGGCCTTGCCTATTGCATTGCAATTTAGCACATGCAACAATTAACCTTTTCTACAGTGCAAGAGAATTTCAGACGCGAACTACAGGGGGTGGAGACAAGTCACAGTATCTGTTCCATGCTTTGCGTGGGCTCAAAATATTTCATAAACCCTTCTAGGCTTTTTGAGTCTAAGGGTGTGTGGCTTCTTAGTGGGAAGACCCTTCCTTCCTTCCTTCCTTCCTCCAGTCTGGGTCCCTGAGATCTATAGACCTGGGCCCTTTGGCCTCCACTGTCTTTGTCCATGCCGGAGAGGTGAGCCTTTCCTATCTTTCCTAAGTGACTCTGTTGGCTTCTGGTTGAACCTGCTGGTGGCCCCTGACAGTACCTCAGGAATCCTGTTTCATTTCCTGTCTCCTCTGGCTTGGAGCTCAGCGCACCCCCCCCCCCAATTGTTCTTAACTTAGCTCCGTACTCCAGATTAGGACATTCTTGATATCCTCCCTGCAGGCTTTCTGCACCCCACAGCTGTCTACAAAGCCTTTTGGCTCTTCAGGATCTTCCTGCATGACATCAACCAGCTTGCCTGCCTGACTCAGTTGAAGGTCTTGCTTTCATGGCTTGAGTTGGTCTTCATATCCATTCAGGGATTTCTGATAAACACATACCTGGATGCCAAGCACCAGTCTTCACGGGAAATTCTTTCTATGTTTCTTCTATCATTTAAAAATACTACTCTTTCCAATTTACTGATTTCACTAAATCTAATCCTGTTTTACAAATGAGAAGACCCTTTTCAGAAAGGTCGGTTGGCTTACCTGACTCAAGCTAGGAAGTACAGAGCTGGGCTGTGAGGTGTACATGGTTCCCGAGGCCATGTGTGTTGTACTGGGGCCATCTGGCTCATCTACCAGGTGAAAAGTTGTGTGTAAGTCTGGAGGTGGGATGTGAACCCAGGCCTCCTGACTGCAGATCCTCCTTTGCCACACGGTCTCACCTGTCTAAGGCAGAAAGAACAGAACTTGGAGTGCGAGCTCTGAGTTCAAGAGGGACCAAGGGGCCCTTGGGTTTGGGTCTTGGTATGTCCTTACTTAGCATTAGCTGGTCAGAGCTTGAAGCTGCTTCCCAGGTTGTGGTCACTGGGTGGCAAACATAAACCCAGCCTGTAGTCTTGCTGGTGACTTGTACTGGCTTCATCAGTGAGCTGCAGCCTCAACTCAGGTGACGGAGAGGGTCCCTGTGCTGTGGCAGTTATGCTGGGGCTTACAGTGACGAGTGCCTGTCCGATCACAAAGCACTCTTCAGAGGTGTTCTTTCATTAGGTGCTTAGGATGGCTCTGTGAGGGAGGGGGCCAGGTAGGCATTACCCCCTCACTTACAGATGCAAAACAGGCTTAGGAAGGTAATGATCTCTCCAAGGTCAGTGGAGATATTGGCAAATTCCAGACCGGGGCCCAAGTCTCCCCTGATTGTGAATCCATAACCTAATGTTGCCTCCGAGTAAATCTTCCTCTCTGGGCCTCATAGTGATCGATGTACCTGTAGGGGGCGAGAGAGATCTTTCTTACGTGGCTGCTCTGAGAAATTTTGCTTCTGAACCCTTTGAACTTATCGGTCATATAGCACATTATCTCACTGGGTTATAAGTAGTTTCTGTGTCTACCTCCCCTAGTACCCTGACACCACCCCCCCAGCCTGAATTCTTTCAGATTGGGACTCTTCTATTTCGTCTTGGCATCCAACACAATGTGGGACCCAATAAATGCCTGTTGAGTTGAATTACATGCAAATGAAATTGGCCAGTGCTGCCTCCTGCTTTTCTTAGGGCATGGGAAAGGAAAATAAACTTTTCCTGGTCCATGATAAAGTTGTCGGTGGCAGAACTCCCAACCTGTGCAGTGTCCCCAGATGGCCACTAGGTGGCAGTGGGACCCCATGGGGACCTTGCCTCCTGCTTGCTCCCTGGGAGACGGAACTATGGGCACCTGTTTGGGGATTGCCTCTGCAAGGTCGTTCCGCAGCTGTCTGTCTGAAACTGACAAGTCTTGGCCTCCACCCCTCCTCGTCAAGCTTTGTGGTGTCATGGAAAAGGCTTGGGCTTTGGAATCCGCCAGGCTTGGATTCCAACCCTGGCTCTGATAGGGAACTTAGCCCTGGACACACTCTTTCTCTGAGCCTCAGTTTCCTCATCCCATAAAATGCAGTTGCACGGTTAGAAAAGGCCCAATACATCATGGGCTGGGGCGTGATGAATTCTAGTTTTATTGCTGGAAATTCCTGTATTTGCCTTTCGCTGCCCTCTGTAACCTGGCTCCACCCTGGCCATCTGATCTTTCTGACCAAGCTTCCTGCACTGCCCAGCAGATCTCTGAGCCTTTCCTGCTGCATCCCCCAACTGCGTAGGGCCATGTGGGGCTAATCGTGACGGCCCACAGAGATGGTAAGTCTGTCAGGGTCTTTGTCTTAATTATTCTGGCATCTGTGCTGTGCCTTTAGCAGACATTCTGTGGTGAAAGCGACAGCCCTGGTTGTTGGGCATATGCCAGGCACGCTGCTAGGCGCTTTGCAGAATTGTTTCATTTAATCCTTGCAACAGATCTATCCCCCGTTTTACACAGGGATAGGCCAGGATGCCTTTGGCTCTGAGCAATAAAAAGCTCTCCTAAAAGCAGTTTAAAGAGTAAGGAAAGATGGTTATCTTGCCAAAAACAAGTCCTGAGTGATGCTCGTTGGTGTCAGCAAGGACCCAGGTAGCTGCCGCGTCTCCTCCTTGCCTTCCTCAGTGCGCTGATTTGTCCTCTTCTGCTGGTCTCCCTTATGGCGCTAAGGGGACTGCCGTGGTTCCAGGTGCCATATGCGGGAAAGATGCTGTAGCTTCCTTGTTCTCCCTTTAAGAGGCCTCTAGCAGATTTGTCACAAAGTTCTTCTTGGCCAGCATTGGGTCTTAGGCTTGTTCCCAAGCTAGTCACTAGTAAAGGAATTCAGGGACTGGCTTGGGTTTGTCAGGATTCAGCCCCTGAAGCTGGTGAGGGATCTGGGTTCCCTTTGCCCCTGGCCCCCTGGTCCATGGAAGAAGGCACAGGAAGGAGGCTCGTGAGTTAAGGAACTTGATCAAGGTGGCAAACCTAGGAAGAAGCAGCATTCAGACCCCATCAGGCTGACTCCCTAGGCGGTCGGTTGTTTGAATGAAGTAAATCACAGAGGTAGAAAGCACACTGCTCTGGATTTGGTGTGCTGGACTTTGAGGGATCTTGGAAGTACCTTTTCTTACTGATTCTGGAGTCTGGAGAGAGATTGTGGTGACTTGTACTGGCTTCCTCAGTGAGCTGCAGCCTCAACTCAGGTGACGGAATGGTATTCTTTCTATAATGGTATTCATTTTCCTCAGTCTGTCTTTCTCCTCAGTGCCTCCTTTACCCCCCGTCTCCCAGTGCCCAACAGCTGCCTGCCTTCTAGAATAGACTTCTGGCGCATAGCTAGGAAGGGCCCCCCCAGACAGAATGGTCCAAGGGCGGATTTCAGTGTAGCTGTCAAGGCCCCATGGGGGTCATCTTAAGGTTTCTTTTAGGTCAGAGAAAGGAGCTACAAAACTCTAAGTCAGGATTTCGGAGAGGCCAGAGAAAAGACCAAGGGAGCTGGCAGAGGCCCAGCAGTAGCGGGGAGTTTATGGTCCACCAGCGGGGACCCATGCCGGGTGGCAGCCCCCTGTCCACCTGCAGAGACAGCGTAGCCACACAGGAGGCCTTCTGGCTTGCAGATGCTTCAGGACTGCCCCAAGGCCCGCCGGGAGGTGGAGCTGCACTGGCGGGCCTCACAGTGCCCCCACATCGTGCGGATCGTGGATGTCTACGAGAACCTGTATGCAGGCAGGAAGTGCCTGCTGATCGTCATGGAGTGGTAAGCAGCCCCGCCTGTCCTCCTCGCCCGGCCCGGCCCCACTGCCCGCTCAGGCCCCTCGCCCTCTGGGGACTGCCCGGCTCTGCACCCCGAAGCTCGAAGTGCCAAAGCTTGATTTCTTTTAGTGGGGAATGGAGAGGGGAGGGGTGGTGGGACGTTGTCCCCTTCAGATCTGACTGGGGCTTTGTTTCAGTTTGGATGGTGGAGAACTCTTTAGCCGAATCCAGGACCGAGGAGACCAAGCGTTCACAGAAAGAGGTAGAAAGGGTCTGTTGTGGGGACAGGCCCCGGCGGGCAGGGCTGTGGGAAGGGGGGCTCCAGTGCCTGCTGTCCACAGAAGATGCTGAGGCCCGCAGCCTGCTCCAGCTCGCTGCCAGGCCTGCCGTGCCCGCTAAATCAGGACAGCTTCTCCTCATTTCTCCGCTTCGAGGGTGGGTGGTGGGTGTAGGGAGCCTGGGGCTGATGGGAGGGGACTGAGTGTACTGCATCATCAAACCTAACAACACGTCTTGTGCCTTGCTTTCTCTCTCCCACCTCATGGCTCCAGAAGCGTCAGAAATCATGAAGAGCATTGGTGAGGCCATCCAGTATTTGCACTCAATCAACATTGCTCATCGGGATGTCAAGGTACCCGCTGTGCTTTGCTGCCCCTCCCCCCGACCAAGGTGTGGTAGGGGCCACGGTGACCCTGCATCCTTGCTGCCTGGTTCCCGACGGCAGAATGGGACAGGGTGCCATTCTCTGCCCTCTCTGGGCAAACCCCCAAACCCAGGAGCGAAGCCTTCTGTGGCTACGCCCAGCCCTGTGGCCCTCCTTCGTCAGCACCACATAGTCACACCTTTGGTTTCCTAGGTCCCTGTGGTGTTTGTTAGGTGTTTCTCTGTGTTTGTCTCTGGTGTCCATGTACTCTGTCAGCTCTCAGAAGGCAGGAATGCTCCTTGTGGCGTGCCCATCGAGGGGCGCCGATGATGGTTGAAAGGGGGAAGGCAGGAATCCTTACCCTTCTGATTCTCATGGCTCCTCACAGGCTCAGCAGAGCTGCCCTCTGTCTGTCTCTCTCTCCCTGTAGCCTGAGAATCTCCTGTACACCTCCAAAAGGCCCAATGCCATCCTGAAACTCACAGATTTTGGCTTTGCCAAGGAAACCACCAGCCACAACTCTTTGACCACTCCTTGTTACACGCCGTACTATGTGGGTAAGTCCAGAGGAGGCCCGGGGAGCTTGTCTTTCCCCAGAGCCGTTCTCAGGCGCTCTCTACAGCTTTCAGCGGCCACTGGGCCTGGGAAAGTCGTGTCCTCTGACCCTTTCTGGAGCTGGTGTTGATGTGACCTGCCCAGAAGTAGGGCTTGTCAGAGTTAAGCTGGGATTGGGGCGCTAGGGGAGATTAATTTGTCTGGGATTATAGGCAGGATTTTGTGCACACGTGTAATTTCCCCAAGAAGAGCTGTCATTGTCCTCAGATTCCCAGTGGGGTCTGGGGCACAGATGTCATTCTGGATCCCCAGCTGACTGGCACAGAATAAACTCATGTTTGTCAAATTAAGTGGACAGCATGGGCCGGAAAGGCTCTTCAGTTCAGGGATTGTTTCATCTTCAGATTCAAGCCCCAGGGTTCCTCTTGGAGGATGCCCTTCTGCTCTCCCCCACCCAAGCCCCACTGGGCTATGGCTGTCCCCTTCCTACCCACAGCTACAGGACCATCATGATGGGCTGAAGGGTTGGGATGGAGAGCGTGAGCCACAGAGAAGTTGGGGTGTATCACGGTGTCCAAGGGCCAGACCCACCCACATTGACCTTTGGTTTGCAGCTCCAGAAGTGCTGGGTCCGGAGAAGTATGACAAGTCCTGTGACATGTGGTCCTTGGGTGTCATCATGTACATCCTGTGAGTGTATCAGGGACGGCCTAGGGGGGAGGCTGGGGCTGGGCTGGGGCAGGGTGGAGAAGGAGGCCTGTACCTCTCCGGGACAAGAGGAAGAAGCAAAGGTTTGCATCCCCTTCTGGGTGGGGGATTCCCTGGAAAGCCCCTGCATGTCCCCTTCTCTCCGTGCTTATTGGATTCTGATAGCTAAGCGCTGGGTATAAATAAGCTAACAGACAGGAAAATGTGTGGTTTAGATACTTGGTGTGTTGGATTTCTGGGCCCTGTTCTTGACTTCATCTATTGTGCCTGAAATCCACGAGTTCCAGTTTCTCTGTGGCCTTTACAAGAAGCCCGTTTCCCACCCTGTTCCTGGTGCAAGGAATTAGGGGCCTTGCACTCCAGCACTGCCCCTCCCTTCCTGCTTCTTGGTCCAGGCTGTGTGGGTATCCCCCCTTCTATTCCAACCACGGTCTTGCCATCTCTCCGGGCATGAAGAGTCGCATCCGAATGGGCCAGTATGAATTTCCCAACCCAGAATGGTCAGAAGTGTCGGAGGAAGGTGAGGAGCCCACGCCTGCACACGCGTGTGTCCTGTGGGCATCCCGCCCACGTGCGTGGTGTGATGGTGGGTCTGTACCTGTATTCCTACCTGCTGGGTCCGTCCTGTCTGGGTGAAGAGCCGGGCTCAGGGCCAGCTCCTTGGGCAGTCTGCCTCCCTGCAACCACCCCCTGCCCCTGCATCTGGTTTCTCCCTGAAAACTTGGGGAAGAAGCAGAAGAGAGAGCGTGTCCCCTGAACAGTGTCTCCCTGCCCCACCTCCGCAGTGAAGATGCTCATCCGGAACCTGCTGAAAACAGAGCCCACTCAGAGAATGACCATCACGGAGTTTATGAACCACCCCTGGATCATGGTAAGTCTGGTGGGCCGGAGAGACCCTGGTCCATGGAAACTGTCCCTCAGGGAGAGGGCTCAGCCACAACTCTGCTCCACCCCAGGCTTTCACTTGAACTCCTTTTCTCCTCCCTCCCCAGCAATCAACAAAAGTCCCTCAAACCCCACTGCACACCAGCCGGGTCCTGAAGGAGGACAAGGAGCGGTGGGAGGACGTCAAGGTGAGGGAACCACTGGCTGCAGGGGTGCTCCGGGGGGAGGGAGGTCTGCGCACGCTCACCCCAGGGGTCTCTGTTATAGCAAGAGCAGTGACCCTGAGCCACTTCCCTGACCAGGCTGGGCCAGGGAACCGTGTCAGTCTAAATGCAGCTGTGGCGGTTCCCTACAAGCCCACTGCTCACTGGCTCTCTAGAGAGACCTGAAAGGCTGTCTGCTATCATCTCCTCATTTTGCAGATGAGGAGACTGAGGTCCAGAGAGGGGGAGTGACCTACTCAAGGTCCCGCAGCTAACGATGGGCTGGGATGGACCAGAGCCCAGCTCCCTGATTCCCAGTTCAGTGCTCTTGCTGATTCCAGCGGGGCTGTGGGGGAGGGGGGGCCCTGAGAGAACAGCAGCAGTGTTGTGGCCAGGCTCTGGTGACCCAGGCGGGGCCGAGGCTGCTGTCAGCTCTGGACCCACTGACCCACTGTCGTCTCCCGCTCCCACCCTCTGTCACCCTCACCCTGCCCTTCTTTGTGTCTCTTGTCTCCCCTGCCTCCCCATTGGGGGAACCCTGCCCCCTCCCCAGGAGGAGATGACCAGTGCCTTGGCCACAATGCGTGTTGACTACGAGCAGATCAAGATAAAGAAGATTGAAGATGCGTCTAATCCTCTCCTTCTGAAGAGGCGGAAGAAAGCTCGGGCCCTGGAGGCAGCGGCCCTCGCTCACTGAGCCTCTGAGCCCGTCCCGCTCCACTGGAGGACAAGCAATAACTCTCGACCTGAATATATTTTTTAAACGAAGAGACACAGAACTGTCCACTTCCACCTCACCTCCTCCTTGGCGGCGTGGAGCCCCAAATCCCGTCAGCGGCTGTGACTGCCTTTGGTTCCGGCCGCCTCAGAGAGGGAGGCTGGGAGGCGGGAGGCTGGGAGGCTGGGGGGCCGTGTGGAGAGAAGGGAGCAAGATGCTCTTGAACCTGTGCTCATTTTGCAGTTTTATCAGTAATTTGACTTAGAATTTTTATGAAACTTCTTTTATTGTTCTTTCCCCCAATCTGCCTCCTTACCCAGACCCCTTCCTCTCTGGATGTGCAAAGGTTGGGGGTTGGTTCAAGGGTATTTGTGGAAACTGTTATAGGGACTGTCCCTGTGTTGTCCCACCTGCCCTCTCTTTCCCCACCACGGCCTGAGGCCCCTGCTGGCCGAGGCATTCGGGCAGCTCCCGGCCCTGTGGGGAGGTTCGGGGCCAGGATGCCCCCCCTCTGCTGGAGCCCTCAGACGTCCCCAGTGTGCCAGACGGACAGAGGCGAGTGTGATTGTGCGCGTGCGTGCGTGTGTACATGTACCCACAACTGTGTCTGGGACTGTGCATTTGAGGGCCCGGGGCAGGCGGGGCTGCAGGGAGAGGGGCCCTGCCGTGGCTCAAGAGCCTTGCGCCTCCTCGGGCCTGCCGTGCCCATGTTGGGTCTACCAAAGTGCCTGAGAAGCCTGTCCCGATTCTGAGCCAGGGCCCCCGTGGCCTGCCCATTGGCTGGTTCTGGGAGGAAGAGGAGTGACGTAGGCACTGGTACAGTGACCAGGAAGACTGGACCACCCGCACCCCGGCCCCCTGCTCCCCGTTCAGTGCTGGTCCGCGTCCTCTGAGGCGCTTACCCACCGAGCAGCCTCTCTTCTCCTTCCTGCCATTATTGACCGGTTCTTGTCAATTTTTCCTCCATTTTTAGCCACTTCTTACCAGGCCTCCTCTCTGTTCTTGGGGAGGAGCCCGGGCCGTTGAGAAGTGATGCGGAGCTCCTGCATTTGGCCGCTCTCCCGGGCTCTGGGGGCACTGGCCAGCTCCCCGTTGTGGGAAAAGAAAACGCCACTTGTGTGGTCCTGCGAATTTCCACTGTGGCCTAGTGGGCGGGTGGGGGAGTCTTCACACCAAAGATGTCCCGACTCTGCCCCTTCCCCATTAGCCGCTTCACCTCCACCCCAAACAACTCAGCTTTGTGTGTCCCGGCCAGTGAGGGGGAGGGCGGGGAGGGCCCCCCCTGCTTTAGTGAGCAACGCGGGGAGAAGTCCTCCTGGCCAGGGTCTTTTCGGGGCAGGGGGTTGCACTAATACTTCAGCTCTCTTTTCCCTCGGGGGTGATTTGCTGGAGGAGTAGCTCGGATCCTCTCTGCGTGTGGGGGAAGGGCTCCGAGTGCCCGCGGTGCCTCCCTGTCTCTGATGGTGTGTCCAGCACTCAGATTGTTGTAAACTGTTGTTGTTTTGTATGAGCGAAATTGTCTTTACTAAACGGATTTAATAGTTGAAAGGTTTTCTTGCTCTTCCTTCATGGGACTCAGCCTCTCCACACCCCCCACCCCCCATGTCTCCTCTTCGCACCCATGGAGAGTAGTTTTGTATGTTGGGATGGCAGAATCTGGGTGTCCTGGGAGGGGAGAGGATGGGAGGGCCTCCCAGGTGAGGGAGCACCTGTCTTGTCCAGGCTCTGGCCGGGTCGCGTCTGCCGTAGGGGCACGAATGCTGCTCTCCTTTAGAGCGCGTGGGATGGCAGTTGGGGGCGGGGGGCGGGGAGCCCATGCTCTTTTGTCAAATACTGAACCAGGAGCCAGGTGGCTTCTCAGCACATGGGTCTTTGATCTGTTTAGCCACAGCCAGGTGCTGGCCTCCTCAGCTGGAAGGGACCTGCTGGATTGGGTTTCTGGGGTCAAATCCTGGGAGAGACCAGGGGAGCAGGGTGGTGTAGTTCCTGAAAATTCCAGGAGGGGGCGATAGGGGTTAGGCTTAAAGCGAAATAGTCTGCATTGACCTGGAAGAGGCCTCAGCGTTCATGTGACCCATCCCCCGCCCCCCATTCACAGATGAAAAGAGCAAGGCCCAGAGGTGGGATGTTTGGGATCACACAATGGATTGGTTTGCATTAGGGCCTAAGGTAGACATTGGTCTACTGACCCCTGCCAGTCAGAAGGACAAATAGTGCACTCTAGGTAAGTTCACATTTTCTCCCACTGTCGCAGAGCTGACTAGGGAGAAAGGCAAGGCAGGGTGTTTACCCCGCTTCACGAGGGAGGGCGCTGAAAGGGCGGAGGAATGTACTGGACGTCACACAGCTAAGTGGTTTGCACTAGAACTCAGGAGCCAAAGACCTGGGGTGTTCTCCATCCTCACACCTGGCCTTCTGCCTGGCAGGGGCCTGCTCATCCCCTCCGTCATTAGCAGGATCATGGCTCTGCTGCTCAGGCTTGTAGACACGGGCAGGGTGGCCCGTGGTGGCCCCCGACCTCCCCTTTATAACTCCTGAATGGATTGTCAAGGTTGGGTGCCAGCTCAAGACTCCACTCATCCGTGTAGAAACCACTGCTCAGATAAACCAGCATGAGGTTTTGCTCTCAGGGAAATCCAGTTACGTTGTCTGTACTTACACAGGTGTAGGAAGTGACGAGAACTTGGAGGAAGAGGGAACGAGGGCTGGTAGGAGGCGAGCCAGGGTGAGAGGGCAGAAGGGCATTGTCACGCTCTGCTGTCTTGGGAGGTGGTATTTCTGTTGCTGCCCTAATACTCCGTGGCTTACAAGAGCACAAATGTAATATAGTCCCGCAGGTCAGAGGTCTGATAGGGTCTCACTGGCCTAGAATCAAGGTCTCAGCAGAGCTGCATTCCTTTCTGGAGGCTCTAGAAGATTCCGTTGCCTTGCCTTTTCCAGCTTCAGATGGCTTCTGCATTCCTTGACTCGTGACCCTCTTCCTCCATCTTCGAAGCCAGCAGCATCGCATCCTTCTGACACTTCTGTGGTCCCATCTCTTTGACCTAGCCAGGAGCTAGGTCTCCACGTTTAAGGACTTGGGTGATTAGATTGAGCCTCCGCAGATCATCCAGGATAATCTCCCCAACACAAGGCTCTTAACCTTAATCCCATCTGCAGTTCCTTTTGCAGTGTAAAGGACCATGTGCCTAGGTCCATGGGATCAGGATGTGGGCGCCTGCGGGACACCTGCTCCATCACAGAGGCCTGTCGCACAGCCTTCTCACCCTCGTGCCCCACACGCTAACACTGGTGTTTGCGGCCTCTTGGGTCTCGGTCGGCCCGGCTCAGGATCCAGCTGGATTGTCCTGGAGTTGGTGTTTAGGGAGGATGGCTGGGGTGAAGGGCCAGGAGGGGCCCAGTGTGGCACATGGGGTCTAGCCATGTCTTTGCACTCCTCCCTGTCCCCCTGAGCCCCGCATGGGTGGCTCCATGATTCCCTGTCACTTAACCTCCTTCAGCCAAATTCCCAGGTGGGATGGGAAAGGGAACTTGGACGTAAAGGCAATTGCTGGCTTTCATGGGTGCAGGAGGCAACAAGGTGTGATTCCTGACCTTCAGGGGTGTAAGATGTAAAGAGGACTTAAGGACTAGTCTCCAATTTACCTATGAGGAAATGCAGCCTTACAGAGGTAAAATGACCCTCCCAAGGTCTCACAACTAAGCAGAGGTGAATCTCACCTGGAGCTCCAGTTCCAAGTTTAGAGTTCCTTGTAAACAACAAACCACACACAAACAAAAATGCCAAAGTCTTCTTGGTAAGGAAGGGGAGGGGGGTCAAGAGTGAGACATATTGGGTTCCCCTCCACTGAGTGGAGTTGTTTCCTTTTCTATGAAATGGGGGTGAGGTTCCTGCACCCTGTGGCTATTGTGAGGAATTGAATGAAATCATGGATTTCAATGCTTTATAAGGTGCCAGGTGGCCTTTATGAGTCCCACCGTCCAGAGGGCACAGGGTGCCCTAGGTTTGGAGTGGGGCCAGTGGTCTAGGCTGCTGTCAGTCCTGCTCTCACTTGAGGGCCTGTCTCTGTGCTTTGGGTTGACGCAGTTGGTTTGGTAAACAGTAACAGTAAATTTGGGGTTTTCCTTTGACTTGGTTGGAGACAGGAAGCACCTATGGAGGGCTGTGAATGATGAGTGGGCAGAGTGGGCAGTGCCTGCTCAGGGTGTGAAGGAAATTCTGTTACTCGGGGGAGGAGGATGGGGTTGGTGAGGCTGGGGAAAGTGGCTGTCCTACCCACCCCATAAGTGTAAACAGACCTGCTGGCCACTCCCCAGGTGGGCCTGAGCGGGGATGGGAGCACCTTGGGGGGCATCCTCTGCGCCCTGGGCCCCAGGAATATAGCCCTCGCTGGCTTTGTCTCTTGAAGTCCACATTTAGGGGCTCAGCCACCCCAGAGGGAGTTTGGCCAAGTTTGGAAGTAGCTCCTCTTTGGAAGGGACACCAGGCTCCAGCTCTGGGGGGCCTTTTGGCAAATTCATCTACCTCTCCTCTCCCTGCACTAGGACCAGTGTGAAGAGACCACCCAAAATCCTAAATCACTAAATACCCAGACACTTAACTAATATGCACTGTGCTTTGGGAAAAACAAAGTGTAAGACCCAGTTCCTTCTCAGTGTGCTACCTTGAGAGGCCTTGTCTTTTCCTTTCCCTGCCTCCACAGGCCCGGACACCTACTTTGTGGTCTGAATCTATCTGTTCAAAACCGCTGCAGACACTGAGGGGTGTGTCGTCTGAGCCCAGGTGGTCCAGGGCAGCCTTTGAGCACCCTAAAGGTTTTGACACTGGAGGGATGAGTGAGGTCAAAGAAGCACACCCTGGATCCTTGTCTTCTGCACAAAGCCCTCACATCTGTGCCTTCCCAGGGATAAGATCAGTTCTACCCCCACTGAGGTGTGTGAGGATTAAATGTGGCCATGCCAGGACTTTGAGAAGCAGGGGATGCACTATCCCTGGGTGTATAAGGGGGTTCCTCCTTGTACAGGTCGCGCTTTGAGGGGAATCAGTGCTTTGGCCTCCTTGGCTCGACCACTCTTTGAGAAGACTCAACCCCCTCGCAAAAGTTAAAACGCCATGTTCTGATTCAGCTCATCTTGAGCACCTACTCTGTGCCATGCCCGGTGCTCAGGACTTTGGGGAGACACAGATGAATTGGAAGTGGGTCTCTAGCCCTCATGGGGCTCAGCCTAGAGGAGCAGGTTGACGGTAACAGAACAGAAA